TGTGTGCGTGTGTGTGAGTGTGTGTGTGAGAGTGTGTGTGTGTGTGTGTGTGAGTATACACACTAATCTGAGCCTCTAGGAGCAAAGACTAATGTGTTTGACTACATGGTGTCCATTAAAAAGGACCACTGAAACATTCTCTTGTTAGTTAGAAAGTCTTGTGTAGCCAGAATGTGTTCCTCACCGGCTCTCATCTCCTCACAGCTCTCTCTGATCTTCCTGCGGCAGACGACGGCCAGAGCCACCAGCAGAGCCAGCAAACACACGGCCAGAGCCACGGTCAGCCAGAGCGCCAGCGGAGGAAACACCAGACCCTGAGCTGCAGACGACAGACATCAGCTTCATCAGGTTCATCATCATCATCAGCATCAAACACACAATCACAGAACGACAGAACTGTCTCAGTGTCCATGCTCTGAGCGACTCGTATGGAGGAAGGGATCAAACTGTATGCATATCATATCATTTATTTATTTATTTTGTAATCCAGTATCAAGTACTATCAACATCAATATCAATATCACAGATTCCAATACCAATCAAATATCGCAGTTAGATGGATACTGTGATTTCTGCAGATAATTAGATATTTAATTGAGTTTTAAAGCCATCGTGGTTAACATTTGACAGAACTGAACAGAAAATGATCGAAGCTCCACTTTATCATTTATCAACAGCAATTACAGAGCGTTCAATCTGTGAGCAGCTTTTAATTCCAACACATCTGCACAGAATGCCACACAAACCCATTATCTGAAATGTCACATTAGCTTCATCATTATTTAGTTGCGAACGCTGATTCTGTCTGTGACACAAACTCTTTTCAACAGACGTTTGTTGTAATAATGGTACATTAATGACAGTTGTTTTTAATTATTTATTTAATAAAAAATAAAATGAAGTAAAAAAAAAAAACGGTAAAACTTGGAAATCATTATTTTACAATGTAGAAATAATAATCTTTATAATAATAATAATAATAATCTTTTCTTTTTTTTCCCCAAAGTAAAATAAAACATTATTGGAATACTATTATCTGGAGCCTATACATATTATTTTTAGCCGATAATTTCATTTTTAATTCAATCTTTTTTTTTGTGAAATTTGTGAAATTTACTGGCAATTTCTGAATGAAAATGGTTTCCTAGCATTTTAAAAGTAAATTGTACTCCATTTTCTTCAGTGTATTTAGTATTAAGTGGGACAGATACCAAAAGAATCATTACACTGAAAGAAAATTATTTTATTTTTATATTTTTGTATAAAATAAAATAAGGAAAGAATAATAAGACAAAAATAATTAAAATAAATGAAATGCAAATAAAACAGTAAAATAGAATAAAAACCAACAATAAGACAAATAGAATTAATTACAAATTAAATGAAACAAAAATAAGTAAAAAAAATAAAAAATAAAAATAAAATAAAAGGACAAAATAAATTGCAATTAAATGAAACAAAAATTATAATAAAATCTAAAACAAACAATAAAAATTACAACATAAAATAGAATAATAAAATAAAGTAATAAAATAATAAAATAGAAATGCTAAAAATTGTAATAAATAAATAATAAAAAAATAAAAAATATATAAAATAAGAAAATAAATAAAATAAAAAAATAAATAATAAGACAAAAATAATTCAAATGAATGAAATACAAATAAAATAATAATAAAATAAAAACAAACAATAAGACAAAATAAAATTAATTACAAATGAATTAAATTAAACAAATATAAAATAAGACAAAATAAATAAAAAAATTAAAATAAAATAACAAACAATATGAAAAACTAGAAAGACATCGCTCTAATGCTGAAAACATAAAAGCTGTTCTAAACATCTAAAGCTGATTGCAGCCGACTGCAGTTTCTGACACATTAAAAGCAGCCTCTCGTTTCTCCACTGACGGCTCTTGAACTTCTGGGTGGGCGACTGTGATAATAATGAGCGTTTAAAAAAAATACCAGCATCCTCCTCACAGCCAAAAGATAAAGGTAGGCTCGACACAAATGTGACGGGCAGTAATTGCGTATGCTTAGAAATCAATACTACAGCTGCTTGTTTATTAATGTCTTTGAGTGCTGTCCATGTAAGTATCCGCTCAAACATGCCATGCTCAAAAAAAGTCAATAAGAAAGCAAAGCGCTGCGAAATCGGGCTTTATTTCCCTCGGTAACTGGCAGACAGAGATGATCTGCAGCGGACGGCTGACAGAGGATATATATCGATGTATTGATGCGGCCCCTGAGAAAGACAAAGCCTCAGATGAAGGCGGCCAGATTTGTTATCATTTGTAGAAGCGCAGAGAAAGCTGCTGAAGAGAAGGTGTGGACACTGACAGAATCACACTCTCCGTATGTTTAAAAACCTCTCCTAAAGGTTAACAGGACAGCTGATTAAATTCACGGCTATTTATTTCTTTATTTTTGGGCCAGACGAGCTGAACAAGGTGAAAGTGTGATGTGCTCCTCCATACAGAGCTCATGGAGACCAATCAGTCAGCGCTCATTAACGAAGGTCAGAGAAAGTTTAAATCAGACGCCATGAAGATGCTTATGAAATTTCATAACTGTAAGGATACAATTTTTCTCAACCTCTTATGAACCGAGGTCAAACATCATGTTGTTAGGAAAACATTTAGGGCAAAATTGGATGATTTGACCACTGTTTTGTCGTATTTCTGCTCTGGCTGTCTGAAAAACCAAAGCGCTGTCTAATCATATTATATCATATTATATTTTATCATATTATATTGGGCCTCACAGGCATGTTAATGTCTCAGATTGTAGGTAGAGGAATTATATAACCATCTATGAATTTCTACGACAGCTAGGATAAAAATAAAATAACAAATCTAATGTGATTTTGTTTCCCTCTGTTATAGATATATCCCAAACGTCTCTCATCACCCATCATCTTCCTCTGGAAGCCCTTATTCATCTCTTTCTCAGTTGCCAAAGACACACAAGGACGAACGCACATCTTGGCTCTCACCCCCAACACTTTCTCAAGTGTCTGGATTCTGCGTGCAGACGCATACGAGGATTTTATATCGCTCACATCTCCAACAACATGTTCCAGTATTGCAGTCTGGACGAACAGAGCTCAGAAATGACCATTACTCCCTTACGGAAGTATTTTTTTCTATCTTACTGCTCTATTGGGATTGTAAAATATCAATCACAGAGATGAGTCGAAGCATTGCAAACTTGCAAAAAAGTGAAAAATGATGCTACAATAAATAACTGCTGTATTGTAAATTGTAGGTAGTGGAATTATGTAAACTTCTGTGATTTTCAACAACAAACAGGGAATAGAATAGAATAGAATAGAATAAACTAGATTAGACTAGAATAGAATATAATAGAAATGATTAAATGAACTAGAATAAAATTTGAATAAATTAATTAAAATAAAATAATAAATTTAATAAAACCAAAACAAATAAAATACAAAAAATGAAATTAATTAAAAACAAACACAATTCAATCAAATAAAAAAAAATGATGTTACAATATAAAACTGTTGTATCACCATTGTATTGTATTACAAATTGATTTATTACAGAGACAGAGCTATATTTATATATATATAAATTGTAGGGTTTGGAATTATGTAACCTTCAATTATCTTCTATGACGAAAAAGTAATGAAAATAAAATAAAACAAAATAAGGCAAATTTAATTAAAATTAAAAATGAATAAAAAAATAATAATAATAAAATAATATAGAACAAAATAAAAAAATAACACAACATAAATAAATTAATATAAAAACAAAATAAATGAAACACTTTGCAAGGCACAAGACAACAGCAAGATCCTACACATTGCCGAAAGTCATCCATCTAAAGCATATGTACACACACACACACACACACTCACACTCACACACACACACACACACACACACACACACAC